CGTGGGCAGGACGAGGAGACCCCCAGATGGACCAGCACGCGTGCCGAGGGACTCACCGCCCACTCGTATGCAGAGAGAGGAGTTCTGGGCACTGAAGTCTCAGGGAGTGACCAAGGGCACTGGGGGACAGCCATTAGATTTGTGGATGTCAAGGATTCTCAAGGAGGCAGGGGTAGGGGTGGGGGGTTCCAGGAACACTGGCTGGAACTGGAAGGGAGAGGACTGCCTGACCTCAGACTGGGTCATGGCTATTGGGGAGGAGGGTTAGGGTTAGGGCCAAGGGCAGATTCCCGACTTCAGCTTAGGAAATGAGAAAATCTGGACTCACCAGGATCGCCTCTTCGTCCAGGCTTGCCACGTCGTCCAGGGGGACCTACACAGGAAAAGACAAGGCCAGGGTCTTCGTGAGAAGGGAAATCAGTGGGCTGGGCTCCGACTGCCAGCGGTCAGCTCCTCCCTACCCGTGGGCTTGTTGGCTTGCCCAGGGTCACCATGCGACAGCATCTGGGGGCAGCCTTTCCATCATGCCTTCCCGGCGAATGGAGGTGGGGGGCCAGGGAGACTTCCCTTTCTTCTGGGGCTACTGAGTTCCTGCTCCTCTGCCCCCACCCCGCCCCACTGCCTGCATTCTTCGTTCCTCATCGTTCAGTTGTTCGACCTTGTGTTCTTATACTCATTCACAAGGACACCCACCCACTTGGTCTTCCAACGGTCCTTCCTTAGCCCAAAGGTCTCACTGCCTGGAGCAGGAGATTTGTAGCTGAGAAACTTCCATCGTAAGACAGAAACTGAGGGGGTGAGAATGCTCTTTCAAAAGCCCTGACAAGGATCAAACTATCTGTGGTCGGTTCCTGCCGTCCACTCGGGAGACCCAGGTTGGATCCCCAGCCAATGCACTTCACGAACAGTCACCGCGTGTCCGTCAGCGGAGGCTCGTGCGTTGCTATGAAGCTGAGCAGATCTCAGGGGAGCTTCCGGACTAAGACCGACTAGGAACAAACGGCCTGTGGACCTTCTGAAGATCAGGCAGTGGACACTCCATGGGTCACAGGAGACAGCAGCCACCGGTCAGGGGGAGGACATGGGACTTGGCAGCATTGTGTTCCATTGGGCATGGAAGTCACTAAGCGCCGGAGGCGGCAACAATCACAAAATAACACAGCCTCACCAACACACCCAGTGAGGACCATCCCTCCGCGTGGCTTGTTGGCTGTGACTTCTTGTGGAGCCAGTTCCGAAACCCCGCCGTCCTGCTGCAGTTCACACGCGTCTTCAGGTTTGAGTCCAGGGAGCCGTCCCCATGTCCATCTATCTCACTGGGGGCCTTTCCGATAACCCTCTGCTTGACCAAGCATGAGGTCCTTCTCCACGGCCCGGCCCCTTCTGATCACATGTCCAAAGCACGTGAGCAGTCTCGCCATCCTGGTCTGGCTGCACGCTTCAAGCCGGAGCGGTTCCTTCTTTCACTAGCCCGCGGCATAGCCAGTGTTCTTCGTTCGGCAGCGCCATCACGCGCTGTATTTCAGATGCTTCAGTCAGCAACAACTCTCCGTCGACTGTCCTTGCACGCATTAGAGCCCTCTGTGCCTCCCTTTCCCACAGCCAGGGTGCTAATGTGCATGCAGACACACATTCTACTCCCGACTCAGCCCTCCACGCACCTGTGCGGAGCCGTTTGGAAGTGAGGATGCAGGCCAGCCTCCGCTCCCCGCCCCCCCACTGCGAGACTGAGGAGGGGAAGAGCTCTGGGTGACCAGTCCATGCCTTCACTGGGCAGAGGTCCGGTGCTCTCGCCTCGTGCCACGGGAGTGGGCATCTCAGGCCTCGGTTAGTGCTCACTCTTCCCGCCACCTCTTTTGGCGCTCGCTCAGAGATTGTGATGCCCCATTCACCTCTGCTTTCCTTCTCCTCCGGGTCTCCCTGTCCCCAGACGCCACAGGAAGAGGGGCCAGCAATGAGCCTGGGTGTGCTGCCGCTAGGACACGCCATCCTTAGAGACCAGTCCTTCAGGAGAAGGACATCACTCCTGGTAAAGCAGAGGGGCAGCGGACAGGGGAAGGCCCTCAAGGAGGTGGATGGACACATGGCTGCAACGATGGGTTCCCACATGGGAGCGAGGGTGAGGATGGCGCAGCACTGGGCCGTGGTTTGTTCCGGTGTGCCCTGGCTCGCTAGGAGTGCTTTCCCACCTAGGCAGGAGTCCCGGTGGTGCACAGTGAGTGCAGCACAAGGCTGGAGACGGCCCCCCCACGTACGTGTTAAGCCTGATTTTATGATGCAGGCTGGTTGGAGTCCCACCCTCGGGGAGCAGGGTGTGGCATCTGCTTCGGTGAAGATCTGCAGGCTGGGAAACCCCGTCTTAGAGCCTGGCTCCGCGTCAGCATCACCTTGATGCTGTGCGGTTTCTCACCTTCAGGGTTCAGCTTCCAGCACTCCGTTGGACAGTGTTCTGTTGGGATCCATAAGGGTTTCATTGCCTGAATTTTAGAAGTCGCTCCCCAGGCCTTTCTTCCTTGTCCCGAAGCTCCACTGAAACCTGTTCACGATGGGTGGCCCTGCCGGTGTTCGCAAGGTCGGAGGCGGAGCTGACAGCCTCAGCGCAGTGTGACACCAGTCGCCGTAGTCCGAGAAACCGATACATGGGTGGTGGGGAGTTGTGTCCACGAGGCTGTAGTTCCAAATCACATGCAAAGTCGCTGTCTTCTCCCCCGCTGTATGTCAGGCTCTGTGCTGGGCTCAGAGGTAGTGCGCTCTGCTCTGGAATCCGTTCTGATTCATCCTGATGCTACAGGACAGACTAGAGCTGCCCCAGTGGCTTTCCAAGACTGTACATCTGTAGCGGAGGAGACAGAACTCATCTTGCTCCCACGGAGCAGCTGGTGGTTTCGAACTGCTGCCCTTTTGGTTAGCAACCCAACGCTCAACCACTGTGCCACCAGGACTCCTTTTGGAGGTTGTAAAGAGATCATTTCAAGACATTGCCTTTTTCTGTAAAAGTCAGCCTCAAGCCCTTTCAAGAACGGCCAGAACATGCCCCGAGGAGACACAGGAGACTGGCCACAAGTCGGGTCTGAGACAGGACGGTTCACTTGAAAACGGTGTGTGTGTGTGTACGTGTGAACATGTGCATGTGTGCTTGCATTCATGCAAGATGTATGCGTCTTTCCCCTTTTCTCAGATTCCCAGCAGACGGTCAGTCCCACTGGTGCTTCTGAGCCTCTGGGCAGCCCGCGTCAGAGGTACTGCCGCACTTTTGTTACGGGGAGTCTAGTGAAGCCATTTTCCTGGGTGCCCCTTCTGAGAGAGAGACCTTCTGAACCCAAATCCTCACCCTGGGAGATGTTGAGGCAGGTTTGTATTTTATCCTAGCTCTGGGGGCTAGAAGTCAGAGGCAGCATGCCCGCTGGCCAGGCTCTTCCTGCCCCTCTCCTGGGCTCTGCCCACTTCCGGTGGCCCTGGCCTGCTCTTGGACTTTCTTGGCTTCTAGATGCACCGTCATGGCATCCCTGTCTCCTCCTCACTCGCACAATGCCCCCCCTCAGACGGAGTTAGGACCCAGCCCCCTCCAGTCTGCAGTTGGCATCCTCTGCTCTCCCCTCAAGGCAGTTCCAGCTCATGGTGTCCCCACGTGGCAGAGTGGACCCCCTCTATAGAGTTTCTGGGCTGCACTCTTTAGGGGGCGGTGGCCCCATTGTAGTGGGTTTGTGCTGCTGAGCCTTCGGACAGCAGCTGAGCAGCTGAACCACAGGACACCGAAAACCCCAACCCCATCCCTGTCTTCCAGTCGGTGCCGACTCCTAGCGACCCTACCGGACAGGGTCCAATGCCCCGGTGAGTTTTGAGTAGAAAGCCTCGCCTTTCTCCCGTGGAGCGGCTGGTGGTTTTGAATTGCTGACCCGGCAGATGCAGGCCAATGTGTAAGCGCTACATCACCGTGCTCTTTGCTGGGCACCAGGGCTCTGCATATCCCAGTCAGCCCTCCGGCTGATGGAAGCAGAGACATCTTCAAGGACTCCATTGGAAAACAAAGCCTTGTTCACAGGCCCCGGGGGTTAGGACTTCACGTTTTTTTTGGGGGGAACACGGTTCAGTCCACCACAGAGGGTCTCCGACAAACAGCCCCACCGGCCACTCTGGGGAGGAAGAGGAGGCCATCCCCTGCTGTTGCTATGACTGCCTCTGAGATGACTCGATGACAGTGGGCGTGGTTTGGGCTGCCGGCTGGGAAGGAATAAGGGGGTGAGGCTGGCCGGGCTGTGGGGGTGAGGCTGGCCGGGCTGCAGGCACGAGGCTGAATGGACTGGAGGATTGAAGTCAGGTCAACACTCACCCAGCCCTGAGCCTGGACACAGGCCTGCAGTTGGGCTTTTGTGCTGGGATCGCCCTGGGCTGTGTGGGCCCGTGAAAACAGGATCCCGGCTTCTCACACCGGTGTGGGCTGCATGGCTCAGAGGCACGTCCATGGCCACGGCCATGCTCACTGCCCACTGCTATGGCCCACTAGAGGGCCGGCAAAGGGGGAGGCACGGGGCCTGGATTTCTGCTCGGGGCTTCAGAGTGTGGGCAGACTGTGCTGGGAGCTTTGTGGGGCTGCCCTGTGTTTGGGGAACTGGTCAGTACCCTCTGGTCTCCAGACACGTGGGCACAGGGCGAGTAAAGGTGTGGGGACAAGGTGTGACGAGAGGGGCCCCCAGCTTCTCCCCGATGATCTGGGAGTTGACCCCTGCTCTCTGGGCTCAGGCTTGGCCCCAGGAGGCCAGCTCGGCCGGCTGGGCTGGCCCCTCTGAGAGGTGCAGGATGCATACCAGAGGGGCTCACGATAGCGAGTGAGCCGGCGCTGTCAGGCTCTGGGAGTGGAGTGGCATGGGGGTTCCTGATGGCCGGTTCTGGGCATGCCTGTGAATTCTCTGGCTGTGTAACTCAAGCCAGATGAAGACATTGGCCTTCCTCGAGGTGGCTGAACGAATGGATTCGTCTGGGTGGTTCTCCTGGGTGGCATGGGTAGGCAGAAGGCTTGGTGCAACAGGATGCTGGGTGGCTGGTGGGCAGCTGCCCGAACAAGGTGGGGGGGGGCTGCCTCCCAGGGCCTGTGGGGAACCTTCTAGGGGCTTAGGGGGTCACTTGGCTCGCAGGGCTGGTGGGGCTGTGGGCTTGGCTCCCACCTAAAGGGCCTTCATGGAGAAGAATGAGGCTGGCCAGGAGCCGCATGCTGACCACCAGCCCGCCTCCTACTCTGAGCTTCTCCAGCCATCTATGGGCAGCCTCATCGGGAAGCATCTCGTCCAAGCCCGAGCTCATCTCCCAACCCCCGGTGCTCCCTGCACGCCCCTCCTCCTCAGGCAGGCAGCACCTGCAGCCAAGCGGCAGCAGGCA